CCCAGATTCCTCAATGGAGCTTTGTGACGGGACGGCCTGAAATTAATATCCTCTGCGTGTCTCTCTCCCTCTCTCTCTCCCTCTCTCTGGTCACCATCTCCTCACCACTTTAAGAGAGTTCCAAAGCAGTGTGAAAGTTTCCACTACGTCAGAGAGAGCGAAATGAGAGAGATGAAGAGAGAAGGAGAGTGGGGGTCAGTTGGATATATAATGAATCTGTTAATGATGAAGCAGGGAATAAATCTAAAACAACACATAAACACACAGGAGAGGTCAGAGGTCAGAGGGAGGGTTAGAGGAGAGGAGGACAGGAGAGGGGGAGGGTGGAGAGAGGAGGACAGGAGAGGGACGGAGGGAGGGTGGGAGGAGAGGGAGGACAGGGAGAGGGTGGAGGGAGGGTTGGAGGAGAGGAGGACAGGAGAGGGTGGAGGGAGGGTTGGAGGAGAGGAGGACAGGAGAGGGTGGAGGGAGGGTGGGAGGGAGGAGGGAAAGGAGAGGGGGAGGGAGGGGGGGGAGGGGAGGAGAGGAGGACAGGAGAGGGGGAGGGAGGGGTTGGGGGGAGAGGAGGACAGGAAAAGGGGGAGGGGGGGAGGGAGGGAAAGGGAGGGTGGAAGGAGGAGGGAGGAGAGGCGGGAGGGTGGAGGGAGGGGGGAGGAGAGGAGGAAGGAGAGGGTGGAGAGGGGGGGGGGAGGGGGGGAGGGTAGGGAGGGGGAGGAGAGGAGGCAAGGAGAGGGTGGAGGGAGGGTGGGGGGGGGAGGAAAGGAAGGGGGGGGTGGGGACGGAGGGTGGGGAGGGGGAGAGGAGGACAGGAGAGGGTGGAGGGAGGGTGGGAAAGGGGAGGAGGACAGGAGGGGTGGAGGGAGGGTGGGAGGAGAGGAGGACAGGAGGGGAGGGGGGGTTGGAGGGAGGAGGGGACAAAGGGGAGGGTGGAGGGAGGGTGGGAGGAGAGGGGGACAGGAGAGGGGGGGGGGAGGGTTGGGGAGAGGGGGAAACAGGAGGGGGGTGGAGGGAGGGGGGGAGGAGAGGAGGAAGGAGGGGGGGGGGGAGGGGGGGAGGGGGAGGAAGGAAGGGGGGAGGGGGGGAGGGGGGGGGGGAGGGGGCGGAGATGGGGGGGGGGGGGAAAGGAAAAAGAGGGGGGAGGGAGGGTGGGGGGGGAGAGGAGGAAGGAGAGGGGGGAGGGGGGGGGAGAGAGGAGGACAGGAGGGGGGGGGGGAGGGGGGAGGAGAGGAGGACAGGAGAGGGGGGGGAGGGGGGGAAGGGGGGAAGGGGGAGGGGGGTGGAGGGAGGGGAAAGGAGAGGGGGTGGGGGGAGGGGGGAGGAGAGGAGGACAGGAGGGGGTGGGGGGGGGTGGGGGGAAAAGGGGAAGGGAGGGGGGGGGGGGGAAGGGGAGGACAGGAGAGGGTGGGGGGGAGGGGGGAGGAGGGAGGAAGGGGGGGTGGAGGGAGGGTAGAGGAAAAAGGGTGTGTGTGGGGGGGGTGTTTGTGTGTGGTGTGTGGGGTGTGGGGGTGTGTGGGGGTGTGTGGGTGTGTGTGGGGGGTGGGGTGGGGGTGGGGGTGGGGGTGGGTTTTGTGGGGTGGTGTGGGGTAAAGGAATGCTTTATGGGACCAGACTCAGTTTATATCAAGTTTACCCTGTCTTTAGCTGGAAGGGAAGTGAATTACCCAAATGAACTCGTCTGCCCCAAAAATGTAACTCAGTCGCCCCCAAATGTAATGTCTTACCCCAAACAAAACTCAGTCTACCCAATTTAATCAGTCGCTCAAAGTAATTTCCCCTTCCAGTTTTAACTTTTTGCCCCCAAATGTAATTTTTGCTCCAACGTAACTGTTTGCCCCAGCTGAACCGCCTTTTTCCAACGAACTGTTGCTCCAAACGTAACTTTTTGTTTCCAATGTAATTTGCTCCAAGTTGTTCCCCAACGTAACGTCTGCCCCAACGAACTCGTCTGCTCAACTGAAAAGTCGCTCCAACGTAATTTCTGCTCCAACGTAAGTCTGCCCCAACAAAAATTCTGTTTCCAGCGTAACCAGTCGCTCCAAAGTAATAAGGGTTGCTCAAAAAGAAAACTTATTTTAAAAAGAGCTTTTCCATGGTAGGGATAGGGTTTTGGACACATGCTTTATGTTGCAATATTCTAATGCCCTTTACTGACCCCCGAAAGGTTTTTATATCAGTTATCTCCTTTGTGGACTTCCCTAATGTCATTTTTAGGTTTGGGGGAGAGACAGTGAGTTATGTGTGATATCAAGTAAGTTTTAATGTCACGTCCAAAAGTACAGTGAAAGTTTTTTGCAAGCTAAAAACCAACAATCAGTAAACAATAAAAGGTAGCATTCAAATAAAAAAAGAAGAACAAAAAAACACAATAAAAAAAAAATAAGAAAAAGAAAAACACAAGAAAGTAAACCCCCTTATAGAGGATGACC